CTCCCTCTCCAGAAGTCCCTCCTGGCTCTTCCTGGCTCCGTTTAGATATGTTTCCTCCAGAAAAATCCCCAACTTGCCCCTCCCTCTCACTCTGGGCTGAATTTCGGAGTGCCCGGCTCTGTCCCACCACGGCCCCCTGGTTTCTCTCCAGCATTGCCCTCGCCACACAATCCACCAGCATCGGTCTGTCTGTGCCCCCTCCCCACCCCATCACCCATTCACTGCCAGCCTGGCACCTCGGTCTGTCTACCTGCTGCAGGACAAACGCATTGGTACTTAGAATTGGGGTAATGAGTGACAGAACTTTAAGGCTCACACCATGCTCATCTGCACCTACCCTCTTGTTTAGGCACATAGTAGGTGCTTACCGAAATCTACCTATGAAGGCCTGGCAGTACACAGTAGGTAGCACGGACAGGCAGAGCTGGGGTGCCCAGAGAAAGAGAGAGTCCCTGGGCCAGGCTGGGAACTTCTGGGAGGGAGCAGGCGGGAGGATCCTCCCCACCTGTCAGTTCTGGGGCAGAAATTGAGGACAGGCCACAGGAAGTCCCCAGCCCAGTCCTAGGGTCATCAGAGCAAACCACCAGAAAGACAGGAGAGTCTGTAATGAGAGAGATTCAATGGCCAGGGCCCAGGACAGGGCCACTGAAGGGGCTGGCAGTGCATTCAGAGAAGGCTTCCTGGAGGAGGAGATACTTTTGGCTATTTGAGGGCAGGGAAAGAAATGGAGATGAATCAAGATAAAGAAAGTGGAGAGAGACAGACACATGGAAGAGAAAGTTCTGTCCCTTTTTGTCTTCACCCCTGAGAAAAAAAGGGAGGCGGAGGCGGGTGAGCAGGAGGAGGGAAGAAGGCCAGGACAGAAGGGAAGTAACATCAATGCCAACGCCATGGCCAGGCGGGTATGGATGGCTGGGGCTGGCAGGGAGCAGGTCCCCAGCTGTGGCTGGGAAACATTTCCTGTCTCCCAGCCAGAGGGGTCATTAATAATCATTTACTCGCCACAGGCGGTACGGAGGCCAGCCAGGGAGCAGCACGGTGCTGGGGCCAGGGCCCAGCCCGGTGGCCGGGAGAGCTGTATTCGGGGGCCAGCCCTGCCACCTTGCTGTGAAACCTGGACAAGTCACCTGACTTCTCTTGGTCTCTGGTAATGCTAGTAAAAGGAGGGTCTAAAGAGGAAGCTGCCTGAAGTCCCCCCGCTCTCCGCTCTGCACTCGGTTTCCCCAGATGGCAGTTGGGCTAGCAGCCCTAGGGAGGGCCGCGACACCTGGTGATGGACATGAGCAGCTGGGCTGTGGAAAGCCCAGCTCAGGCCACATGGGGTGGGCAGTCCCCACCCAGCATCCGAAGAGGGAGCCTCGTGGAGCCAGGTGCACATCAGGGAACAGAGGAGGGAGGGCCACCTGCGCAGGGCCTGGGGGCCGACAGTGTGACTGGGCCAGCAAGACCGGGCTCCTCACACACAGAAGGTGGGGGCCCAGGACTAGCTGTTGGTCACTGTGATGACTAGCACTTACGACTGTGCCTGCCTGGTACACAGCAGGTACTCAATAAATGCTTTTAGACAAGTGAATGAGTTAATCTGTTACATTGGGAAAGAGCTCCCTAAAAGGTCACAATGGTGATTATTCTGGCCGCAGACATGGGATGGGCAAAAGGCTTGGGTGTGAGGCCCAGGGACGGCCATCCAAAGCCATACAGCATCGCATGGAAAGAACCAGCTTCCCCCAGATCCCTTTTTCCAGTTGCTCCAGAAGCTTCCTCAGCCCCAGACCACATTTCTCTGTTTACCCAACACCCACTTCAAAGCCCACTCACTTCAGAAAACTTCTGGAATTTTTCTTCTCCTGAAGAAAATTGGCCCCAGCCCCCTCTCCTGACTAACTCCGATAGTGCCTGCCAGCTGCGAGGAGTCCTGGCCTTTCACGTTCTCCAACACCTGTTGGCAGGCTACCCAGAATGCTTTTCCAGAGATTTCTCTGGAGAGGATGACCTGGATCTTTCTACTGACGGGAACTCCCCCATCAGACTAGCGGGTCCCCAAAGGTAGGACCAGGGCTTCTTTTCACAGAAGGGTCTCTGTAAGGACAGGGACTATTCCCCTCAGTAGACGTGGGATCAACAAAAGTGGAAACACACCAAGATCTCCCTGGTTGCCTCCCAGCACAGGGGCCATCCCTGCGGGGCTCACAGGGAAGGAAAGGAGGCAGGTCAGTGTGCGGAAGGGGGCGCTTGGCTGCTCATCGTTCCCTGGGGATGACGGGAACGAGGAAGGACACTGGGCCACCCAGCGGACTGAGACCTCATGGCTGGCAAACCCACCCCACTCCAAGCTTGGCCCAAAGTGCTCTCGCACCAAGGAGGTGTCACCGGGGATACTGCCCAGGCGTCAGGCACGGCCTGTGCCTGCACAGCACTGCGCGGTGGTAGTAAACACAGTGAGCCCGAGACACGTGCATCCTCTCCCCGCCCCCTTCCGAATCCCAGCCCGAAACTCGAGACAGGCTAAGAGGAAAAGAACAAAGGTTCCCGGACTGCGACATCGCCCGCCGCCCGCCTGTCCAGCGCCTGCTCAGCAGGAAACCCAAGACAAAGGCCTTGGTCAAAGCGAGAAGGATGAAGGGCAAAGGGTGGACATGGCCTGGCCGGAGGAGGCCAGGAGAGGACGTCACAGGGTATCTCTGGCGACCTAATCGAGAGGGAAGCAAGGACAGGAGGGCAGCCAAGCCCTCCCTGCACACACACCTCTCCACAAACATTTACCGGACACCTGCTTGATTCTGCACACCCTAAACATTACAAACCCCGTCCTTCAGCCCACACACCTTATGCACACACTCCCTTACCCCCTGCAGCACATTCCAGAGCCAAAAACACCCCTCATCTTCCTGGACACCACTCACACATGCCTTACCATGCACACAAACAGCTCGCAGAGAGAAAAGATCACACAATCCACATGTCACACTGAAAAGTTACAGAGCTCACACACCCACACTTCACACCACGATCACACTCCACCTCCCATCAGGCACCTCTCACACCCCACACTCACCTCCCTAACTACAGACACACATCCAATTAAATCCAACACACACACCACCCAGACAGAGATAGAACCCGCATAGATAACATGCACACCTAGTGCCACACCAAAATGTCACGTTTGTGGCTGCACACGCAGCCCTCAGCATAGACAAGCTTGCCTGCACACAGCGTCCCCCCCATGCGTGCACACGCACACACACAGTCAACAGGCTCCCGGCCTCGAACCCTCCGCCCCGGGTGCTGCTGCACTCCTTCCCATCAGAGTCGCTCAGGCAGCCAGCACACAGGTCCTGACCTACTTCCCAAGCAGGCCCGGACTGCACGCAGTGACTCTAGGCCAGTCGCCTCGTGGGCGGACATACTCAGGCACACGCAGCTCTCCACCTCGCGCCTCCGCCGAGATGTCAATGGAACCTTTCCTCAAGCCCCTATGTGGCTCTTCCTGGCTACACACAACGACCAGTAACATACACAACCACACACGCAATCCCCCATACAGATGGCCCCTACGACTCCACCGCACAATGACACACAACCATAGACACAGAAGTCCCCCCCCACACACAAGAGTCACATATACCACTGCCACTCAGAAACCCCGACACAGCCTCCCTGGCAACACATGGCACACAACACCATACACGCACAGTCCGCCCCTGAGAACCCCCGCACAATCCCACACACAATGACACACACAATACGACATGACACCACATGCATGGTCACACACGAGGCATACTCAACGTGCACAACTCAGCCTGTCCTACCAGCCCTGGACACCTCCCCCCACAGGTGACTGACACCAGATTGCAGTCTACTCCTCCCCCCAGCCCACACCCCCAGCTGTCCCCAGTCAAGACCAGGACAGCAGCGATGCACAGGTTTATAAGTTTTGAGCCCCAGTGCCCCACTGCACCTCCCCACCAGCCTTAGATCCCTGGGCACCGCCCAAGAACTACGCATTCCATGTTCAGTTGCCCACATGTCATGCTTGACAACATGAGAGGGGTGGAGGTCCTGGGGACACCAGCCCAGCACCCTGAGTCTGCCCCTTCCTCACCCCAAAGCAGAGGCAGGTATAAGGGGCAGGGGTGACCACAGGGAGAGACCCCGGAACAAAGACAGAAACCTAAAGGAACTGGGTGAGGGCGGGTAACAGACAAACCAAGACAGGTGGGCACACGGGCAACAGAGTCCAAACAGGAGAGGACTAAACAAGAGAGACACTGACAAGCAGAGAGAGAAGACACTCAGAAAAACACAGAACAGCCAGAGGAGAAAACAGAGAATGAAGTGGGACCACCACACCCAGAAAGAAACAAGACAGGGTGAGACAAGCCAGAAAAGACTAAGGGACCTCCAAGTGCGTCTGTGTGTGGGGGGGGGGGATACAGGAGCGAGGTAGGAGGGAGGTCCTTCAGAGGGGAAAGAAACCGTGATGGAAAGAGGCCTTTGGCCCCTGGGGTGGGGGCCCAGGTGAGGAATGAAGTGCAGATGTTGGGGTGGGGTTCTGGGTGGGGTGCGATGAGGCTGTGTTCTGAGGCGGGGTCCTGAGTGAGAGCTGGGCACTCGGACGTCCCGGATGTGCCTGGGCTCCGAGGCACACAGCGGCGGTTCAGGGGTTCGGGCAGGGGTTCTGGACTTCGGCAGAGCTCTCGGTGTGGACCGGAGTCCCACTGGGCATTGTAAGTTCACAGAGGTAGGGCGGCATCCGATCGGAAAGGGGTTCCTAGTCTGGGGCGAGGTTTGGACTGTGAGCTGGGGCTGCAGGGGCTCCGGGGGTGGGGTGCAGTCGGCACAGGAGTGAGATTCGGAACTAGGAAAAGGGTCTCCACCCTGAGGACGGCTTGGGGACAGGGTTGGCCACGGAGTCGGCGACGCCGTGTAGAGGACCCGGCCGTGCGCTGCCGACACCCGCTTCTCCTCGTGCCCGGGGCGGAGGGCCCCCCTACCTGCAGCCTGTCGGCGCATGGCGGCGGCGGCGGCTCGTCCGGCTTGAGGAAGACCTGCTGGCCCCGCCTGAGGAATTGGACAACAGCGATGAGGATGTGGTGCAGCACCAGGACCATGCTCGCAGCCGCCCGCCCGCCCGCCGGCCCGGCCGCTGCGCTCGGTCAGCGCGTCCGCGACAGCTTCGCCGGGTCCGCACGACTGTGCGCCCGGGCCCCGCCCCGGACCGCCCACTGCCCGCCCCCCCGCGGCACCGGCCCCGCCTACCGCCCCGTCACCCTGGACAGCACCGCTCAGTTCGTCCGCTCCGGGGACCCCGACCAGATTGCCCCACCAGCTCTCACCTCCCTCGTCTCCGATCTCATGTCTTCAGCTGGTCCGCTATTAGGATCCCCGCCAGGTAGTCGGCTCCCAACCTTCGCTCCCTTCTCTTGCCCCTTTGTCACTCCTTTCACTACCTCGCAGGGGTCACCCCTCAGAGCCCCTTTCCTGTCTGATCGCATCCTCTCCCCGCACCTCTTAGAAAGTGTTGGGGCCAAGCTAGAGCGCAGTGAAGGGTGGAAGAAGGGGGAAGGGACCACTGACAAATTACAAGGGACCTTGGGCTTGCTTCTCTTCCAGGAAAAAAAAAAAAGGGGGTGAATTTTAGAGGTTGCTGCGAGATGGACAGGCCCTGGGAGCAGTAGCAAATCTGGGAGGGAGACACGTGCGCACGGACGCGGAGGCACACACGGATGGGCGCAGTACTCCCGAGAGGAGGGTAGGAGCCCTGGGACCTCAGCACTGGGCAGGCAGGTCTGCGTCGGCGCCCTCGGAAGTCGGAGAAGGTACAGGCCCCAGGGCCACGCAGTCCACAGTCCCGCGGTGGGACCCGCGCGCCCAGAGCGCAATTGTCCGCAGAGCCTCTGCGCTCCGGAGTCTGCGACAGCCGCGACGCTCCTGCGCCCCCTGCTGTCCCATCCAGGAGGTTCAGCCGGGCCCTATTTGCGAACAGCCTGGCAGGGGGAGATGCGGTAAGGGGGTCACCGGGGCCAGCTCCCCGCCTGAACCTTCCCGGTTCCTAACCTTCGCCTGTCATGAGATCAGCTGTGGCAGTGGCGGTGGGACATGTTTGGGCTGGAGGGTGAGCTTGGTTCTCACCTGGCCTTTGCCAACAACTCGCTGCATGACCTTGATCAGATCCCCCTCCCAGGTTTCTGGGCATCAGTGTTCCCACCCCCTTCATGAGACAGCCAGAAGAATCACCTCTGATAACGGTGGGAAGACAGCCAGAGCCCTGACAGCCCTTGCTGAGGCCCGACCTGCATCTTTCCCAGTGCACTGAGTCCCCTCTCTCTGTAACTCCCCTCCCTTCTTGGAAGGTGACTCAATGAGCCCCCGGCCTCCCAGCCTCCCCACCGCACTGGGCTGATTCATCGGGGCCCTCTCTCCCAAGGGAGTGATTTCCTTACTGTTGAGTCACTGAGCCCAGCCCTGGACTCTGTCCAGGCACCTGACACACAGGCTGTGCCGCCAGGCCAGGGGGAGGCCCTCCGTGCCAGGATTTCTCCCACCTCTCTTTCTCAGGCTCATCTCTGGCCCTGCTTCCTCCCCTGCCCGAACACCTTGAGTGACTCCCTACCACAAGCACAGCAAAACCCAACCCCTCGGCCTGGCAGGGCAGACCTTCTGTATCACTTAGCCCTGGCTTGTTTTCCAGCTTTGCCCCTCTGGCCACCATTGCTTAAATTTACGCTTTCTGCTCTTCCCCGAGGAATGACTCATCCTCACCTTCAGGCCTTTACCCCTGCCACCCCACCCCCAGTGCCCTCCAGATCCTGTTAATCTGCTTATCGCTGGGGGCCAGACACAGGCCCACCTGTCTCAGGAGGCTACCTTAGTTCTCCCGTTGCCCCTTGTGTTTTTCCTAGGAGTCGTGTCTCACTGGGAGGGGTGGGGAGTACCTCCCACTGAATGATCCAGGCCAAGTCCATGTATTTTACTGTGTCTAAACTAGGGGCAATTTGTCCTAGTTATTAACACTGTAAAAGACATTACATGGGCCAAGATGTGTACAGGTTCTGGCCCACAAAAGGCCCTTCCTTCCTTTCTGGCCTGTTTCCTGCTCTGTAAGGAGAGTGACCGATGTCAGAGCTACTGTTAGAAGTGAGTCTGAGCACCTGTCACCTGGTCAGTGCTAGACTCGCATGGCCTGGGTGGGACACAGGTACCCAGAAGGTATCTGTTCTGGCCAGAGCTCTTTGTTCTTCAGGGAGGCCAATCACCCCACACCCCGTAGTCGAGAGCCAACCCTGGCCTGGCACAGCCGCCGTCTCTAGCAGGACCTCCGCGACGTCTCCCCTGTAGAGAAGGTACTTCTGAAATCTTACTTTGTCTCTCACCCTGCAGCTCAATGGCCGGGGCCCCAGGAACACGCTCTGTGTCTCTTTCAACTCAGAGCCAAGCATCCCGCAAAGCCCTAACTCTGCCACAGACTCGCTGTGTGACTCTGGACGGGCCACTGCCCCTCTCCACACCCCAACTCCCTCATCTGTGAAATGGGAACACACTAGATCCAACAAGCAAACTTCTTCTTTTGATGCTTGGCAGGATACAAAACCCTTTGAAAACCTCCCTTCATGCAATCCCTGAAGTTCTCCAGCAGTCCTTTCTCCCTGCCCCCTCCGGAAGAGGCAACCAAGACTCCACAGAGTGGCAAGGGGACAGGCCTTGCCCCAGCTCCCACGGCCAGAAAGTGAACCTTGCTCTAAGGCCAGGACTCCTCTCCTCCCCGGGCTGTGTTCTGTGGTTCTGGGCTGGGTTCTCACCCTGGCTCATGCCTGGGACACCCCCCCCCACCACCACCATCAGGTATTTTTCAATGTTCCCAGATGGTGGTTCTAATTTGCTGCCAGGTTCACAAACCCCGGGTTAGATGCATCTTGGCTGACCTCAGTACCATGGAATTAAGGATCAGGGCTGGCCCCATCTGGGGCTTTGGGCTTTGACATTTATTAAGCACTTGATATGTGCCTCATATTTCATCTCCTCAGTGACAATATAAGGTAGGACCTTTTATTAGCCACATTCTACAGATAAGAAAAATGGAGGTTCAGAGAGGCGAAGTAACTTGCCCACAGCCACACCACATAAGTGTGAGAGCCAAAATCCGAACCGGGGCTGTCTGGCTCCAGTCTGCACCTTCCCCTCCTGTCCATCTCGTGAGAAAAGGCACGCGAGAAAAACAGGTGGTTGCACCTCTCCTTGGTCCCCAGCAGTGCAGGGACTGAGGGCTCTCTACTCCCAGTCCCTGAACCCTCCGCCCATCTCTGCCCGGAAGAAGCTGGCCTAGCCCCTCTAGACACATCTTTTCATCACCCCACTTCAGCAGCTGCTCTAAGGTACCCAGGGACCCAGCTACCTCAGAGTAGGTATTTTTGGAAAAGGTGACTCAGCCGAGAGTCTGGGTAACGGGCCACTTGACCTCAGGCCCCGTCCGGAAACTGACCCTCCCTTGTCCCTTGTAATGACACCTCTGGGGGCCATTGTGTTTACACAGCACTCCCTTCCCCAGGACTGGTGAGGGCTTTCCCACTTGCCCTCTCTCTGTCTGGGAGCAGTGAGCCAGCAGGGCTCAACAGGCCTCAAATCCCCCTTCTCCGTGGCCATGCATCCTGCTCCAATGAGCCTCTCCGGTGCCTGGCAGGCATCCATCCTGTTGCTGTTAACCATGGAGACTCCTCAATGCCAGGTTCAAGCCTGAGCCCTGTCCTGACAGGCTGAGTGACCTTAGGCAAGGCTCCTGTCCTCTTGGGCCTCAGGCTTCCCAGCAGCTGTGAAGGTCGACCTGGTTCTCTGCAAGGGCTTGGGTGGCTCGGGTAGCGGGAGGCAGGATCCAGGCAGGCCTAGCTGGGCAGAGGACCGCTCTTCTGGGCAGGCAAGCCTGCCCAGGCATGCCAGGCCCAAGGACTGAGCAAGGACCAGGTCCCAATACAGGGAGCTCCTTAGCAGAGAATGTATGTGACTTAGAGGGAACCCATAGACTAAAAAAGGGCTCCACCCTCCAAGGGGCCAATCCAAGAAGCACCCGGAGGAAGCTGACATCTCCATGGGTCTTGCGTCCATCTAGAGCCCGTCTTCAACACTTCAGCCCTGAAGGGGCCTTGGGTGTGAACCACACTTAGGTAGTTGTGTGTGCACGCGCACATGCGTGTAATTCCTCAGTGAGGGTGAGAGGGAATGAGTACAGGTTTGCAAATTTATATCTTTGTGAGGATGTGTGATACTTCCTTGATATAGCTGAACTTATGTGTATACACGCAAATGTACATGTATCTGCGGAATATGCATATGTGTTTGCAGACAGGTACAGTTGTATGTGTATGCAAATGTCCAAGCATGGCACACAATGTACATTCATGTTTGAAGGTGTGCACGGATGTGTGGGTATGTGTGCACCCAAAGCCTCACCAGAGGTCCTGCCCGCAGCCACCAGCCCAGGTCAGCTCTGTGTGTCTGCTGGCTGCGGCCCTGGATGCGGGAGTGGCCCTCACAGGGAAAAAATTGGGCCGCAGGCAGGTGCCGGGGACAATGTGGATCTGGGCTCTGCAGGGGCAGGGCCTGCTTCCAGAGTCCCTGCAGCAGCTCTAGTTCAAAGGACACAGGCCGAGAGAACTCAGGCCCCTCCATGAGGGGATGGGTGGGGTCAGACACAGGTCTCTGTCACCTCCGTATCATTTCCAGGTCCCCGTGGCTCGGGGCAGGCCGCTGCACCTCTGCAGCAGACGATGGCTGCCTGACCCTAGAAGGGGGGGGAACCTGTAGGATTCTGGTCCAGGACTAATCCAGGACCTGCTGGCTCACATCAGGGCTGAGGTTCCGGGGACTTGGGCCATAGCACACCTTAGGCCTTGGTATCCGCATCCATGAACCCCAAGATCCTTCTACTACCCCAGGCCACACACAATCATATACACGCTCACTGACGTTCCACAAATATGTACCCCCCTCTCTCCTACACACAGACACACACATTCCTACATACAGGCACACAGCCTGTACACATGACCACATGGCTCCTACGCAGAGAGACACGGGTGGGCACACCTGCCCCAGTGTCTCCTTCGGGGGCCACTGTGCCTTCTTCTCCCTGATGCCCGTACGTGCTGGAATCATCTTTTCTTCACCCCATCCTCAGCCTGCCTCACCCGCAG